TCAATAACAGTGTCTTAGTTTCTTTTCTCATTGCTGAGATGAAATACCTGATATCCAAAGTTAAAGGAGGAAAGGTTTATTTAGTGTGTTCTTTATTTTTTAGTACCAGGAGTCGAACTCAGGACCTTGCACTTGCCAAGCAGGTGCTGAGTCGCTGTGTTATAGTCCCAACCTCTGGCTCACAGTCTGTAGTGGTCACCACCCTGCTTGGAGCCAGGCATTGCAGAGTATACACACTCCAAGACCACATCTCCTTTTCCCTCTTCTTATTCAGGCTGTTAGCACTCATACCCTTACCCCTAGAGTCCTTGACCCTAGCCTTGCACCATGACTCAATCCCAGAATCACACACTCTACATCCACCACCTCTGAAAAATTCCTACTATGACTGCAGGAGGCTTTGGGGCACATCTAGGCACAAGCCATAACAGATAATAATTTTTAAAATTACTATTACCATGGCCATGATTAGTAATGAAAAGAATGGTTTTAAAGTATGCCATAGTTTTATTTGAAGAATTACTAAATATTTCTCCATAGCTGTTACTGATCTCCCAGCTTTTTCTTTTTTCTCTTTCTTCTTTCTTTTTTTCTTTCTTTCTTTCTTTCTTTCTTTCTTTCTTTCTTTCTTTCTTTCTTTCTTTCTTTCTTTCTTCCTTTTTTTAAAGACAGAGCATTGTGAAGCAGCCAAGTTGCCTGGGCTAGGCTCAAACTTGTGATCCTCCTGCCCCAGCCTCCCAGAGTGCTGGGATTACAGCCATGTGACATCATCTCTAGCCTAGCTCTTTTTTTTGTCCTTTTTGTGGTGCTGGTGATGTAACCCAGGGCCTTGTGCCTGCTAGCCCAACATTCTACTATGGAGGTACTTCCCTATCTTCCACCACAGAAAACTACTTTATCATGCTAAGAGGAAAATCTGTGGGGTTTTCCCACTCTTATGATTAGTCCAAAAAAATGAATCAGATATGTGGAGATTCATAAGAACAGGCTTTCACCTCTACAAATGAAAGATTTTTTTAAAAAAACATATTGGTAGCAGCAAAAGCGTAAAGGACGTGCCATCTATTTCATTGACTTCGCAAACTTTTGGAGCAAGCTTGAACTGTCTTCTAATTTGCATTCAGGGATCATCAAGAAAACATCAGAACTGCTTTCTCCTCGTCAACATATTCTCTTCCATATGGCACATGCCTCCTGATTTTTCTCCTATAAGAAGTAAAAGATGATACACTACTGTAATGCAGCATGGCCACGTGAGGCTGACCCAGAAGCACAGGCTGGCTGAACATTTGTAAAAGCAATCAGTGTAGTACATCATATTAACAGAACAAGAAAGAATAACCATACAATAAAGAAGAAAAATCGTATTGCAAAGAAGAAAAGCTCAGTAATTGCTAAGAAGATTTTGCCAAAATTTGGCATTCATTCACGATTTTTAAAACTCAGCAAGCTAGAAACAGATAGAATCTTCCTTAATCTAATAAAAATGCATTTACCAAAAAGTCTACAACCAAATATATAATCCTGAACAACTTAATAATTTCTCTCAAAGATCAGAAGCAAGGTAGGAATGTTCGCTGTCACTGTTTCCCTTTGCTGTCATAATGGAAAGCCTAGCCAGTGAATTAGGGCAGGGAGGAACAATAAATGGTATTTACAATGGAAAAGAAGAAATAGGACTATGTGTAAATGATGTAAAACTATACACAGAAAATACACTGAAAAGCTTCTAAAATTAAGGAAGCTAAGCAAGGTCATAAGTTATAAAGTCAATATATGAAAGTTAACTGTACACTTATGTCCGACTAATGAACAATAGCATTGAAAAAAGTGGACTACTCTGGTAGAAATGTAATTAATATGTATAATGCCTGTGACCTGAAAATTACAAAACAAAATTGGAGAATATTTAAATAAATAGAAATATAAATGATATCCCAGGGTTGAAAGCTAAATATTATGATGCTATTTCTTCCCTTCAAACTAATCTATATATTTGAACAATCACAGTTAAAGTATCATCAGAACATTTTTGTATGCAGTAACCAGATTTTTAAATATATATGTGAAATGTAAAGGAGCTAAAAGAGCCAAAAGCTTTTTTTTAAGAGGAAACATTTTGAAGGCTCAAAGCTGAGTTCAAAACTTATCCTAAAGCTATGGTAATCAAGACTGTGATAGGGGCCAGGGAGATAGCTCAGTAGAATAAATGCTTGCCTGGCAAGTGCAGGGGCCTAAGTTCAATCCCTGGTTCTGCAAAAAGACTGTGATAATAGGGAAAAGACAGACACACATACCAATGAAACAGAACAGAACTCCTTCACGAACAGGCCAAGCACATATATTATGATTGATCTTTGACAAATGTGCAAGGTAAGTCACTGGAGAAAGTGTAGTCTTTTCTATAAAAGGAGCTGGAAAAATTGATCATCCTTCTGCAAAAGGAAATGGAACACATGTACCTTAAAAAAAATTAACCAAAAGTGGATCTTAGACCTGTAGAACTGTGGATGGACGACATTTTAAGAAAAAAATGTGTAAGATCTTGGTGAGTTGAGTTAGACAAAACTTTCCTTACACATGACAAAATCTATACAAATAAATTCATAAAATAAATTCTGAGAACTTCTGTCTTGTGAAAGAAGACCCTGTAAAAGAATGAAAAGGAAGACAAAATGTGAGCAAATATTTGTAAATGAAACATTTGACAAAGAGCTTTTATCTGGAATATATAAAGAAGTCTTAAAAACTCAGTCATAAAAAGAATAACGTGACTAAGAATATGTACAAGATTTGGCTGGGCTCAACCTCCCAAGTAAGTCTGTGCTGCCTGCCTGGCTTCTGTTCGAGTGCACGTCAAGGGCTACAAAGAGAGGACATGTCACATCTATTCTAGTATAGGTAAAATTTTAAATGGAACAAAATTAAGTGCCAAAGAAGATCAAAAAAAGAAGAAGAAGAATTTTTTTTTTTTCTGTATTTTAGGGAAAGGTCTATAGAGTGTTCAGGGTCTCACTACTAGGTCAGACTCATAGTGATTCTCCTGTTTATAGCCTCCCAAATGCTGGGATTACAAATGCTCACCACCATGCCCAGTCTCAATTGCCATTGCAGCGTGCCCCAGGGGCAGGGCCAGCACAGCAGGCCCGGGGATCAAACCTCCGGCCCCTGAGCCTGCTTGTAGGCACTTTAATCTGCTGAGGTATTTGGCCTGTCCAGAAATTTTTTTAAAAGAAAAAGAAGTGGAACTCTCAAACACTGCTAGTGGGAAGGGAGTGATTCAGCTATTCTAGAAAACTGGTAATTTTGTGTAAAGTTAAACATACACCTATTTCACCTATCCAGGAGAAATAAGAACTTATTTTACTTAATAAAATATGTAAAAAGTTTGCAGTGGTTTTATTTATAACAATTCAAATCTTGGAAGAACTCAAACGTCACCCTGATGAGTGAATAAGCTGTGCAGTGGAACGTGGCTCCCAGTAACAATGAACATAGACACGACACCCTGAAGACGCCACACACCCGCTGAGTGACAAGACCAGCGGTCTGTATGCTGTGAGACCACAGCAGTTATGAGACACTCTGGAAAAGTCAGACTTATGGGAAGAGAAAAGAAACCAGTGGTTTTGTGGTGGTAAGTCGAAAACCATCATCTTACTGTGGGAGTGATAGTACAACTATTTATGTATGAAACTGTACTCATAAATTCAGTTTTACTGTAAGTGGAAGTGAAGCAAGCAAAAAATGCAATTTTGAGTTTTCTTTTGCATTTCTGAGATTCAGATCTGCTGGTGTTAGCAACAGTCTCCTCAGCAAGAGACAAGTTGTTCCTAGGAAGAAAATTGTATTTGCCTTCAAAATTGACAGAGAAAATAAAGAGAAGCCTGCAAGCACTTATTAAATATGGAAAATATTTCATTAATTTGATTTTTAATTTGCCAATCTTTGTATGAATTATTTTGCATGAAGTCATTTTTACTACTTAGATTCTAACTCTTTGGAGATCCATACTCTTCACAATTTGTTCTTCAGTGATCATGTCTCATGACTAGCTTCACAGGAAGAAAATGTCTCCTCTGGGATCTTCACTCCAGCATTTTTTCAGCATCATACATATTTCAGTATTTATCACTTAGTGAAACTCGCCCATCTGCTGGCTCTTGATTTTTTAATGGCGAATTTGGCATCCTGGGGCCCCGGGAAGTTCACACTGCGCACATCCTCCTAATGCCTCAGATGTCATTTGCCATCATCCGCATGACTGCCCATCTGTCCTCAGGAGGGACAAGATAATGCAAGTTTTATTTTTAGGTCAGGTTTCATAAGAGTTTGAATCCAAAACTTAAAGTTCACTTCTGCTATGACTAGGTCATCCGAACATCACCCTTGAAACCTCCCTCATCTGGTCACCATATTGTCAGGGTTATTAATCTGGCTAGGTCTGCCCTCATAAAACATGTATCAAAAACTCCCACATTAAGTGATTTCTTCATCATGAGAAAAATACATAAGCATGTGGAGTCTAACAGTAATCCAGCCTCTGGCGTGGCTGAGGCTGAAATTTCACAAGTTCAAGCTTGAGCAACTTAGTGAGAGTCTGTCTGGAAAATCAAAAGGGATGGGGATACAGCTCCAGAATGCCATGCCCCAGCATTGAGTCCCTAGTAGAGAGAAAGAGAGAAAGAAAAAGAGAGAAAGGGCAGAGAATGAGAACCCATGGCAGTTGCTGCTGAGCCACTTCACTGTGGAGGTCGTGGGATTTTGGATATAAATACAAACAGACAAGCAAAGTGTGTGCTGGGGAGGATTGCAGGCCCGGTGGGCTCAGGTTTCTCCCTCCTAGATGCCTCAATTCCCAGGGAGGTTACTCATTTAACCTGGGTGAATTTCTCTTTCTCAGTAAAACAGTGGATTAGTAAATGAACAGAAATACGAAAAGCCCAAGGTGCAACACACTGATTTTCAGAACAGAATGACTGTGTATTCACCTTATGCAGGAATGGACGGACCACAAACTACGCTGGAATCCTGACGAGTATGGTGGAATTCATTCCATTAAAGTCCCATCAGAATCTCTCTGGCTTCCTGACATTGTTCTCTTTGAAAAGTAAGTATCATAGAAGAAAAATACAATGGTTAGCATCTGTTGTAGAAAAGTCTGATTTTGTCAAAATAATTAAAGAGAAATATTCAGCTTTAAGCACTAAATATTTTTTCTTCTTAAAATGTTGCTTGACATTATAGAAGTAAAGTTATAAAATACAAATAGTGTGGTGGTAGGAACAACACTGGAAACTACCAAGTGCGCAGCAAACCACTAAAGTGAAACCCCTTTTGTGGCAGTGCTGATGGACGCTTTGAAGGATCCCTCATGACCAAGGTCATAGTGAAAGCCAATGGAACAGTCACTTGGACTCCTCCTGCCAGCTACAAGAGCTCCTGCACCATGGATGTCACATTTTTCCCATTCGACCGGCAGAACTGCTCCATGAAGTTTGGGTCCTGGACATATGATGGTACCATGGTTGACCTCATTTTGATAAATGAAAATGTTGACAGAAAAGACTTCTTTGATAATGGAGAATGGGAAATACTAAATGCAAAAGGGATGAAGGGTAACAGAAGAGAAGGTTTATACTCATACCCATTTATTACTTATTCTTTTGTCCTGAGACGGCTGCCTTTGTTCTACACTCTGTTTCTAATAATCCCCTGCCTGGGGTTGTCTTTTCTAACAGTCCTTGTGTTCTATTTACCTTCTGACGAAGGAGAAAAACTTTCCTTATCGACATCTGTTTTAGTTTCTCTGACAGTTTTTCTTTTAGTGATTGAAGAAATAATCCCATCTTCTTCCAAAGTCATTCCTCTCATTGGAGAGTACCTGTTGTTCATTATGATATTTGTTACCCTGTCAATTATTGTTACTGTCTTTGTAATTAATGTCCACCACAGATCTTCCTCCACTTACCATCCCATGGCACCCTGGGTAAAGAGGCTATTTCTGCAAAAACTTCCTCAGTTACTTTGTATGAAAGACCATGTGGATCGCTACTCTTTCCCATACACAGAGAGGAGTAATCCAACAGTGAAAGCTAAAGTTCTGGATAAAAAGAAACGGAAAGAAACTAACAATGGAGAAAAGATTCTGGTTGCTTTCTTGGAGAAGGCTGCGGAGTCCATCCGGTACATCTCCAGGCACGTGAGGAAAGAACATTTTATCAGCCAGGTGAGGGAATGCACTCGCAGCAGGGGACCGGTGAGGGCACAAAAGACGACTACTGTGGCATTTATTTATAACACAATGCTATTATTGCTTAAAATGTGACATCATCAGCCATCATCTGTATTCATACCAGTCTTAAAACAAACCCTGACACACAGTAGGGTCTTTATTTATGAATCTTTAAAAAGAAAGTCACAAAAGTATAATGTGCAAAAGGGAAGCAATTATAGACTAAGAGAGATTTTTTATAATTCCTTGATTCCATTTTGAATATTTCAATTATAGCTTTTCTGGTCTTTCTGATAGTTTATCTTCTATTTTTCATGGTATTAGAGATATTTTCTTACGCAGTATTGAGAAACAAAAGTGCAGAAAAATCAGATTTGAAAATTAATGTTAACTTTTCTCTTGTAACTGATATTTTGCTGAGGGAAGAGGATCTGGTTACTTAGCTTATAGATTTTTTTTTTAAATGTGAAGCTGAGAAAATGACCTACACCTGTAGTCCCAGCTACTCAGGAGACTGAGGCAAGAGGAGCACTTAAGCCCACAGGTTTAAAGCCAGCCTGAACAACACAGCAAGATCCCACCTCAAGAAAAAAAAAAAAAAGTATGCATCACAAAGTCAAAACAGTCCTAGGCTCATGTCTCGTCCTTCTGCCATGTAGCTTGGAGACAAGATGCTTAACCTGACCTGTTTTCAAAATCCTTCCTTCTGTGCTGAAGAATGAATGGCAGAATATAAGATATGCACAGTGAGCCCACGGTATATGCTCATGAGTCACATCTCTACAACAATCTCCAGTGTCCAGTTGTTGTATCCTAAAATTAGTGAAAATGAGCACCAATAGCCTGATTCCAGAAATACCCTCACAGAAGAACTGTTCTGGAAATATCTTTTTGTGTTTTGCCTCTCCACTCTCTCAATTGTCCGTCACGGTCTTCATCCACTGTAGTTTTGTTTTTAAAGGACCAGAAATGTGTTGCTATAGAATGAGCATTTCAGCTTGGTCTTTATTTTTTTATGAAACATCAATGCAAAGATTTTTTAAAAAAATTTTAATGCAAAGATTTTTTTTGAAAAATTTAATTATAAAAATAGTACATGAAATTTAGAAAATTCATCAAAATGTAGGTAAGAGGATTAAAGTCACGACTAAACCCATGATTTTGGGTTGGATTTTTTTTAAATACTTTAATGTAGCTCATTTCTGTGTTTCTTCCCAAAGTTTTGTTTCTGACCCTCACTAGGCTCTGAATGCAGTCTGGCTCCATGCCAGCCACTGACCAGCCCCTGATAACGTCTTCCTTTCTATTGTTACAAAATTCCAATGCACGGAAGGTCCTCAACTACTGATGGAGTAACCACCCCAAATCCACCACACTTGGAAACTATCATAAGTTAGAATGTGCGGGTCACCCTTCACCTACACTGATCAGGGCCTGTGGAGCCCCCAGTAGCCTGTCGTCATGGCTGATTCCCTGACTGCCCATGCACTAGAGGTTCCCACTGTGGGCCTTAGCCCTAGGGAAAGGTTTCTAGTGAAACTATATGGTGGGGACCATTTATAAATGGGACTTTTATTTTCCTTTAAAACATAGATCCTACCTTTCTCTCTCAGCCCCCCTCAGCCCCTTGGCCTATCCCTGCTCCGACCTCGCACAAGGCCTCATAACATTCTCCCTGGCTCCTCTTCCTGAAAAAGGCTCTTGCTCTCTTCCCTCCCTTCCTTGCGTGACTGCATTTCACTGGTGGTGCCAACTTCAGCCATGTCCGTCACTCTGCCCTATGCCAGCCATATCCATGTGTGGAGTGGAGGAAAAGACCTGGGACATTTGGCCACAAAGACTCTTAAAGTTATGTTTGTGATTAATTTCATATGGATATCAGGGAACATTGAGGTAAAATGCTAGCTTTTATATATGTAAAAATCAGGCTTTTCCCATTTTAATCAATAATTCTTATGAATACATAAATGATTATATCATTCTATTTTACTTCTTCAGTGTTGATGAGAGTGCTCCTAGACACTCGACTTACAATGTTCCTAGACACTCGACTTACAAACTGTTTTTTTGTTCTTGTTTTTTGAGACATGATCAACAATGTCACTGAATGGAATCTGAACCTGTATTATAGGTGAGCAGGGGTAGGTGTAGGAGTTAGATACACTTTGAAAACTTAAGTGCTGTACTCTGAACATTGCTCTTTTTCAATCTCTGAATGAATTTAGAGCAGTTGCATACCATTGTGAATAAAAGCCATCTTTTTCCTCTCCTTTTTAAAAAATTTTTTAAAAACTCATTTATTTATTTATTTGGTACAGGGTCTTCATACACTTCTCAGACTTGTAGTGATCCTCCTGTCTCAGCCTCCCCAGCTCTGAAATTGTAGGCATGCATCACCATACCCAGTTTCAGTGGCTGGCTCAGTGTGGGGCGCTGGGTTGGCATGGAATGCAGTACTGAGGATTGAACTCAGGTTCTTGCGCTTGCCAGGCAGGTGCTTAGACCACCAAGCTATCTCCTCAGCCTTTTTTTCCTCTCTTACAGGTAGTGCAAGATTGGAAATTTGTAGCTCAAGTTCTTGACCGAATCTTCCTGTGGCTTTTTCTGGTGGTGTCAATCACAGGCTCTGTTCTGATTTTCACTCCTGCCTTGAAGATGTGGCTGCAGAGTTACCATTAGCAGTGAATCTCCAGAGTGGCTCAGAGCTATTCTGTATGGACACAGCCACCTCTTAGATCTGACCACACGCATATGAGTCCAAACTACATGCACATTCCAACATCCCCCTCGGCCACCTGACCGAAATTAAACATCACTTGCTGGGAGAAACCTGCTGTGAGAAACCTGGGTAAATATGGCTGTGTAAGTGAACTGGGGGCTGCAGTAGAGGGAGTTTGGTTTAAAGGAGTCAGAGGTCTCCAGGTCATGCTATGTGGCTCTATGCTATGTGTGGGCAGGGTCCGCTTCTGCCCATGGAAGTTCCGTCTGAGTTGCCACTGAGCTTGTGTAGTGCATCCCCAGCTACATAGATGAACAGAGAAACTGTGCTGGTTTGGAGGATTACCCTGGCACAACGCCTGGCACAGCGCACTTGTTTTGACACAGATTCCAAGATGCACCAGTCAGCTAATGAGCCCCTACCACAGAATTCATTAAAAACAACCTTTTTTTTTTTTTTTTTTTTTATACCAGGGATTGAACATGGGACCTTGCACTTACCAGGCAGGCACTTACACTGCTGCGTTATCTCCCTGCCCCCACCCCCCCAAACAAAACAAAACAAAAAAACCTTGTTTGGATATGGTAAGACTGTTAAGGCAGGCAGCAGCCATGGCTGTTCATAGCTCTCTAAGGGTTCTCTGATGGTGAAATCAGAACCTTTAGTGAGTGGTGACTCCCTTTAAGATCCTGTCAAAATAGCTCATGGTAGAAGCAAAGTCATCTGCTACCAGAGGTAAACTCATTAATATCCATTCATCTTCTGCTAGAAAATCAAAGTAGTAAATAATCTCTGACGATGGTTCTTGATGTCACCACATCTTTTTATTTTTTATTTTTTATTTTAGGGAAGGGTCTACAGGGTGTTCAGGGTCTCACTACTAGATTAGGCTAGTAGTGATCCGCCTGTTTACAGCCTCCCAAGCACTGGGGTTACAGGCACGCACCACCATGCCCAGGCTTAATTGCCATCTCAGCATGCCCCAGTGGCGGGGCCAGCTCAGCAGGCCCGATGTCACCACATCTGATAGAATCCATGCCAGGCAGGGGTCCTCAGGTGTTGCCTTTTGTTTCCCTTCTCTCAGTTCAGGTACATTTCACCCACACCACTCCATCTCTCCCCGATACTCCTGAGGACACTGTGCTCAGATTGGCTTTGCTGTTGCCACCTGGATTTTAGCTCAAAGCAATTTTGTCCTGGTTCAGTTACAAACCCAAATTCCTTTTGGAGCATTTTGTTTCAGGCATAGTTCTTGTAAACAGCTTGCAGATTGAGCTTTTGAAAACCCGATCTAAAACTTTAAACCACTTACATGTATTATTACTATTGATGTGTTTGGTCTCACCCAAGTCTTTAGTTTTATGTTTTCTGTTCATGGCTTTCCTAGTCTTTGGGTTCTTTTTCCTCGCCTTTCCAGCCTTGATTGAGATGGTTCCTTTCTTTAACAGTTGGAAGGTTATGCTTCTATTAATTTATTAATAAACATATTAAACCTTTTTGTCATTGATGCTGAATAGGAGTATCTGTACCTGCACTGTCTACACACACACACACACACACACACGCACACATACACACACATGCACACACACACATACATATAGTATCCACCTCCCTCATCAATTACATCTTCTGTGTTTCACGTCAATCATTAGAATTTTAATTTTAGTCATTTATTTTTATATCATGTGTCTCCTTTTTTTAAGAATCACTTATTGATGGTACATTTTGTCCACAAACACATTGTACATGATTTTGTTTCTTTGTTTACCAGTGCTCTCTATCCTAAGTCTTTCTCTTTCTGTGATTTGCTGGTACTTTAGAGGAATATGTCTTCAGTAATTCCTTCTACTGTGTGTGATGGACCCTTGCAGGCTGACATTGAACTGGGTTCAAGTGACCCTCCTGTGTCAGCCTCCCAAGTGGAGGCTGTTGTAGGACAACAGGCTCATTCTACTGCATCTGACTTCAAGTAATTCTTTTAGAAAGATTATGAGCATGGTAGACTTCTGCAACATTTTTGAAATCAATTTTTACCCTTGTGTTTGAATAATAAGTTGGCTGATTGTTATCCCTGAGAAATATGGTAAGGGTTGATTCTTACCTCTTATCCCTACATGCTTCTATTTTTCTCTCCTGAAATGCTTAAGGTTTTATCTTTGGCCTTTGGAAGTGTCACCATGTCTGTCCAAGTCCAGGACATTCTTTCTTCCTCTGGTTTCACACTTATGACTGATGTCTTCAAATCTTTAAATTTTATTTTCCTGTTTTGTATTTCCTGGCCTCCACCCTCTCTCTTTGCTACTTTTCAAATTTCTGACCTGGGTGTTGCTGGATCTATCCTTCATGTTCATTAACTAATTGACCTTTCTTTCACACTTTTTAATTCACCTATTTTTCTCACTTTTTTATTTTTTCAAAAGGATAAAAAGATCATTACAAATATTAGAAATGATACAGAATTTCACTAAACAAAATGGGGAATTCATTTTGGAATTCAACAATGGTTGTTACGTTGCATATTGTTGTCTTCAAATTAGTTGTTAAGATTACCAGATATAAGCATGTACAATTGGTTAAAAATTATAACAAATTAAAAATAACATAAAAATTTAAGCATTAACTTCTTTCAATAGACTAGCAGAAATTAGTACTATCATTCAAGCTATCCTGTGTATATACATATATGTTTCTTTCTCCCTTCTTTTTTTCTTTTCTCCTTTTCCTCATCTCAGGTATTCTTTCCTTTTGGAAAGAATAGTACCTATTGTACTATTTTACCTATTGTACTCTCAGTACCTATTGTACCTTTTGGCTTTTGTTCACTCTTTCAGGTTCTTACACTAGGGAGGCAATATGATATTTATACATGCACGTATTTATTTCATTTACGAGAATGGTTTCTAGTTCCTTCCATTTACCTATAAAAGCCTCAAGTTTATCTTTTTTATAGCTGAGTAATAATCCATTGTATAAAAAAACATGCCTTTTTATTCATTTCTCAGTTAATGGGTATTTGGGTTGTTTCCAAGATTTAGCTGTGACAAATTGCACTGCTATAAACATGGGTGCACATATATCATTGTGGTATGATGCTTTTCTGGAAAAATATCCAGGACGGCATAACTGGGTTGGATGGGACCTCCAATCCTAGTTTTTTCAGAACTCTCCACACTGATTTCCATTTCCTTGAGCTAATAAAATTGATCTTCTGTAATGATCTATTCTGCTGTCCGGCCCACCTCTCAGGTGGGGGTTTTGTTTGTCTGTTCATGGATAAGTAATAAATTTGATTTCCTAGAACTCTTAATATTTTATGGCTGTCATTCTCCTTGAAACATTTTGGGAAATACTCATTGTAATTACTTTAAAGCATTTTATTGTTTTCATCGAGTTAATTCTTCTGCTGACTTTGATGCTTTTAATGGTCATTTTGCTCAGATATTTGCTGGTTTTCCATGTTTATTCAACTGAAAATGAAACTGTTCTACTTGCTGTATTGCTGGCTTCAGTCATGGTGTGGGGCAGTGTCCAGCTAGGCACCTCTCTGGGTTTGTGAGCAGCTCTCTTCTGCCTGTGGGTCACCGTTCTTGACAGCAGCCACAAGCTATCATGGGCTCTGCCTAGATGCTGTGAGACTGCAGAATGCTGTGCCTGTTTAACATCCACCCTCCCATCTGGCTCTGTAGTGTCTGGACATCTGTAGTGTGTGTGTGTGGGTGTGTGGGTGTATGTGTGTGTGCATGTGTGTGTATGCATGTGCGTGTTTGAGACAGGATCTCTATATCTCTATGTAGTCCAGGCTGGTGTCAAACTCACAGAGATCCTACTGCCTCAGCCTCCCGAGTGCTGAGATTACTGTCATGTACCACCTTGCGTGACAACTCCGGACATCTGTAATGTTCTAGATGATTTCTCATCTGGTAAGCTTTCCATCTTGTCCATATTAACCTTCTTTTCATCCCAAATCTCTCCTTCCCTGGAGTCTTGGCCCTCCTCCTGGGACTTAATCCTTTAGTTACCCTCCCTCTCTCGGTCTTGTAGTGCTCCCTTTCCTAAGCCTATGAAATGCCTCCATGTGTTCTCTTCTTAAAGAAACACACAACTGTAGAGAACAGAAATGATGGAATTATTTTCAAATTGCCTGAAGTGATTTCTAAGCGAGTCATGTCATTCAGATCATCCTTAAACACACTGTAAGCCCCCCAAAAGAAATCGCATATGTTTTTGAATGCTAATATTTAAAGCATCACATTTGATACAGTCAGTGCATTTGTTCTCAAGTGATAGCAAATTGTATGCTGTAGAATGGTATTGTTTTGTGTTATTGGCCCAAACTATAGAACACTGAGGCTCCTTCATGAACCACATGTTTTGAAAGGGGGAAATATGGCAATAAAAAAACTGTGGCATAAAGACTCAGGCTCCCAGCCAGGCATTAACCAGCTGAGTGAGCTGTGAGGTCTTCAACTACTTACGGGCCCAAGAAGAATGTCAGTCTTTTTCTGCTTGGTAATAGCATGTTCTGACTTATGACCTTTAAATATTTTCTCTTCTTTAAACTTCTATACCTTGAAGATTTATCCTTAAGCTTTCACATTTTTTAAATCATACTGCTTCTAATTTCAACTCTTTTCCTTCATGAAAATATAATCTGCTTTGTCACTACTTTAGGTAGGATTGGCGAGAGCTTACCATGATGAAAACCAAGGATTCCCTGCATTATATCCTCATTAGGATTCTAGACTCAAACGGCAAATAATTACTCTTTTCCTTTTTATTAGAATAATACTATATTTAACTTATTGCTTAACTTGAACTCATTAGCCTCTAAGTAAGAGACAACATTAACATTAGAAAAATGGCTTAGATCTGAGTTCGGTTTTTAATTTTGAAAAATACAAGTATGAAACACTTTCCACAAGCAAGCCTCTTATCTATCAGATACAAACACAGACAA